GAAAGAAGTGGAGTTTCAAAGTACAGGTTGAAGTCTGTGACGCATGGGTTTAGCTGAACTTGCTAAGCTGCTACTCCTAATTTGACCAGAAGATGCAGCTCTGGAGTGCTTGTGAAGGATGTTGCTCCTGGGGAACAGCATCACCTGTGAAGTGCTAGTAACTTTTCCAGGTTGAGAACCAAGTCTTGTTTATAAAGCAGACACCAAACAAGATCAGGATCTTGTAGCAATGTAAAAATAGATTTGATCTCTTCTCTAAAAATCTTCAAATACATATTGGATTTTATTCTTTTATGAAGATGTTAGAGAGATTAATATATAAACCGATTATCAGAGTTTCGTATGGAAAAAAAACAAGGTGCGTTTGCTGCAAAATGCAATGAAAGTGGCTTGAAATTCTCTATGCAGTGGAATATAGATTAGCATTCCAGGATATCACAAGATTTCTGTATAAATCTTCTGGGTTTTGAGGTCTGTAATAGAAAGCTTTTCATGGGTAATCCTCATCAGTGTTTTTTACATGCAAATGTATGTTCAGTCCCCTCCTACTGATAGGTTTCTCATTGACCATGTATTTTCTTGTTCCTTTTTTTGTTTGTCCATGAACTTCGCCCAAGATGAACTGAGTGTACTACTCACACCTACTGACTTCCTTTTCCCTTTTTGCAAGAGTTGGAGGAAAAAAGAAATGCAGGCCTCTGTGGTTGAGCTCTTTGTTCCCACGGTCCACTGAGTTTGGGCTCAAGGTACTCATACAGCTGAGAGTTTTGTTGAAGGGGAGGAAAGAAGGGGGAGGGGTGCATAAAAATTGTACGTGTTCTCAAGAATTTATAGCATGGATACGTGACCCCAGTATACTTCTATTGCAGTCTTAGTCAATCTGAAACTTAAACCTCATAATTTTGCTGCCACATCTAATAAATCTAATAATTCATTTTAAAATTCATACTTTTGAAGATTAACCTTCAAAATATGAAGGGAGTAAAGGCTGGTTCAGTGATGTACGTCTGAATTAAAAGCTCTAGGAGGTGTAAAGCAGTGAAACAGTAATGCCTTGAGTGCAGTGTTAGAGGAACTAAGAGGGGTATGATAAGCAGAAAAAGGAGCAAGGAACAGTGAAGCAGGTAGTTGTCAAGCTTACCTGAGGTGAGACAATCTGAGCTTCTGTTTCTTCTCTCCTCCTAGCCTATGTCCTGGTGTTAGCTGTTTTGCTGCTGCTCAGAATTAGGACCCAGTTTCTCATCTACAGAGAGAGGAAAACAGTGCTTCTACTCAGAAGTAGCACAGGCTAGGACCAGAATATAAAATGTAAACCGAGTATCAAGCATTAGACTAATGTTGTGTTAGCATCCTTTCTGCTTGCTGTGCTAGGAAGCAATCATGGGACTGAAATAGGAGCTGGTACTGTATAGGAATGGGAAGAGTTGTTCTCAGCATTTCAGGGATTTCTTGTACCAATTTACCTTGCATAGAATGAGTGATCTTAAGTTACCAGATCACCAAGCAGGGCTGTTCTTAAGCAACTAGAAAAGTATGGAGCATGATAAGAAGGGCTTTTGACTGTTGTCACTAATGTTGCTTTTAAGCTCATTCTTGGAATCTGTTCTCTAAAATGATGCAGTAAAGCAACCCATGGGACCTGGTCTCTCTGAGGTTCTCTTGGGTCTGGTGAGTAATTAGTAATGCTTGAATTCATACTGAGCTTTTTTTTCTTTCTTACAGGTACAAACTGAAGATAGCGTCCTGTTGTTTGTGGTGGCCTGGACAATCACTGAGATAATCCGTTACTCTTTTTATACGTTCAGCTTGTTAAACCATCTCCCTTATCTCATCAAATGGGCCAGGTAGGTGGCATAATAGAAATCAGAGGCTTGAAGCACTGGTTTGACAGGTATATTTATCTTCTAAAATAGCTGCAGTACAAAAAATTAGATTCTACCTTGAGGTAATTGTCGTGTTTGTGAGTGTGACTTCCCAGCTTCTTTCCAGCAGATTTCTGAGTTAAAAAAAGCTATGCCATTGTAAGCTGAAAGAGGAGTTTGTTAGAACTCGGTCTCATTGACAAAGTGATTGTGTTTATCAGAAACTGACATTGAACAGCAAGGGGTGACAGTAAGTAAACTGACATTTAACAGTAACCCTTGAATCCAAGGGCTGTACTTGAAACAATTTGTAAGCTCATTGATTAATATCAACTGTGTTTGGCCCCATTTTAAGTAATATAATGAGCTCTACCAAAGAGTTCAGAAATCAAAGTAACAAAAGCATGGGCGGGGTAGAGGAGAACAGTTTCAAAGATGGTTTTCAGATTCTCAAAGGCAGTCCTTAAATAATTCCAACTGATTGTTGATTTGAATACTTACCTTGCAAAATGGTCTAATCAAATAAGAGCTAAGGGAAATAAATACTGAGTTGAGAATTTAAAATTTGAATATCCATAAGAGCATTTAACACATAGTTTGTCAGAGTTTGTCATAACTTTTAATTCTTTCTTTAAATGTTTTGTTCTAGGTACACTTTGTTTATAGTACTGTATCCAATGGGAGTCTCAGGCGAATTACTTACAATATATGCTGCATTACCCTTCGTCAGGCAGTCTGGCTTGTATTCCATTAGTTTACCTAACAAGTACAATTTTTCTTTTGACTACTATACATTCCTGATCCTGGTTATGATCTCTTACATTCCAAGTAAGTATGAGTTCGTTAGTTTGTTGGTTGGTTTTGTGTTTTTTTTATTTGATATATATTAAGTGCTGTAACAGGAAATGCTAATAATTGTGGGATTAATATATACATAATTTTGCAAAATTAATTTTGAAAATTATCTAACGAAAAAGGTCAGAGTTAGCACTGCAGAGATTGCTTTCTACCAACATCTGCAAAACAGTAATACATGTTTTTTCTCTTACACCTGGAATATTAAATAACTGTGGCACTTCTTGGCAAATGTTGACATCTTCGTATTCCACTCCCCCCCCATTTACAGATTTTTAGGAGAACAAAGTACAAAACAGCTCCTTAAAATTTAGCTCTTTACCAGGAATGAGAAGATTGATTTTGCATTAGTGAGAAGGGAACAATTTCTGTTGAATTAACTTGAATTGCCATTATCTCTGGTTGATGTTTCTATAGATGGAATGAAGATTTGGCTTTGCTGCTTTGAAGTGGGGAATAGGAACATGGAAGCCTTTAGCAAATTCAGATAAAGTCTAACGTGCAGAATAATGTGATGATGATGTTGCTGCTGTTAGCGGTCTCTGCAGCTGTCACTGTATGAACCTTGATGTTTGTGCAGAATGATAAGCCATACTCAAGATTTAAATTTCAGTAGCGTGGCTGTCTATAACAGGCACACGTTTTCAGTGAACCATCTTGTAATTCTGACGTCAAGGTTCATGTGTTTTTCTAGCTGTTCTTAAAAAAATACTTTTCTTGCGTTTCTCCTTGCCCCTGTCCTCCAAAAGTGGCAATGTCACTAACTCCTATTGGCCAGAATAATATCTTTTGTTTTAGTCAAAATAACCATGAGTATTAATTACTAGTTGTGTGCTAGCCAGATCACAGTTGACAGGCCACGTGGGAGAGAACCCACACTGAACCCAAGTAATGAGTTCAGCCCTCTTTCTCCATTAGAATTGCTGTCTCTTAAATGAGTTATTTTCTGTGATCCATGATCATTTGCCAGATGCATAACTTGAACGTAGTGGGTTTTAATTTTTTAATTTTTAAAAAATTCCTATTACTGTGAATTGGTGCATTAACTCTGAGAACCAGCTGCTTGGACCAGCTTCTTGGACTCAAGCAGTCTTAGGTGCCTTTTCACATGAAGCTGTTCCTGTGGTGTTCGTGAGATACAAGAAGAGCAGTGTTCATTGCAGTCATTGATTGCACTGTAGTTCAGTTGTTTATTCATAAAAGCTACTTATGCAGGAGTTACACCTTCTGAACCTACTGAAGATCTTGGAAATTTTGGGAATGTTGCTATCACAAGGAAAGCAAGCTTTGAAAAGTGGTGTTAAAAACTGAGTTTTTACATTCTTGATAGTGCATCTTACCCTTTACCTCACTTTAAATCTCTAATTTAGTGCTTGTCTGTCAAAATTGACATCTTGCTAGAAAAGATGTCATTGAATTCTTTGCGTATAATGGATTCCCATTACTTAGAGTTGTAGTGGAGAAACAATGTGGCTTTGTATTCTGTTGTGTCTGGACAGCTGTATTTGCTCCTTAACGCTGGTGGAGTGAATCAAGAATGGGGGGAAACAATCAGGAAATGAAATACAGGGTAAGGGAAGCTAAAAAAATATAAAAGTTACCCTGAAAAAAGCAGTGGTACACAAATTAAACAGATTTTGGCCTATGTTTATGACAAACACTTTGCATGCATAACTGATACAATTTAGGCTGATGCTGACCTTGTTTAATTTTCACATGGTTCACAAAGCTTTAGTTTCTCATGGCAATTTTAGCTTATGCTGTTTATGCATGTGTTTCCATCCCCTACTTTATTGTTCTGCAGACGTACTCTGTAAGGTAGGCTTAGAAATAGGAGAAGAAAATTTTGAATGGAGGATAGAGAAGAGGTGAAAGAGGCACCGTTTTGTATGAAGTTCCATAGATCCTGAAAAAGTGTCACTAGAACTATAAGAAGTGAAACAAATCTGGAAATCTCATTCTTTCAGAAGGGCTTTTTCCTCCCTGCTGTGTATTTTCTTCCTATTGTGTGTGTGTGTGTGCAGTTCAGGAAACTTTTGTCATCCTGCTTGTACATGCAGAATTAAATAAGGTGTTTTGCAATTTAATTTAAAATGTGATTGCTCTGGCAAAAAATAAATAGTACCTGAAGCCTAAGGACAGTATCACTTATTCTCTTTAAAGAATAAAAGGAAATAGATGACTTGAGCAGAAATCAGATAAGCATGTTTTCTCTTAATAAAGAATTGGAAACCTTGACCATGTGACTCTGCATCTTACATTGACATGTAAGCCAGACTGTGTTTACTGAAGTCTGTTTTCTCTTCAGTCTTTCCTCAGCTGTATTTTCATATGCTACATCAGAGGCGAAAGGTACTCTCCCACACTGAAGAACACAAGAAGTCGGAGTAATTCCAGCTCTTTTTCAGAACTTTTCAAACATCAAAATGCTGCAGTTTTTCAATACCCAGCACATTTATAAAGAATATACCAGGATAAAATAAGCCAGAGGTAAAAGACTAGTAATTTAGCAAGAATAACCAATAAATCTGATTTCACTGAAATTCCACAATGTAAAACATTTGAAATAATTTTCAGCTTGCAGTGCTTCAGAAAACTTTTAAACTTTACATGGCTTGGCAGTTAGCCTTTTCCTTAAATAATGTACTAAATAGTTTTCATTTATTACTACATGCCTGAAGGTTGCAGTATGAGTGATGAAGTTGTAGCCACTAAATGCTTGAATTGGGATTATATGACTGATACCTCTTTTTTTTTAAGTGCTTGACTGCATGCCAGAAACTGTATGTATTGCCGTGAAAGCAGACAGTATGCTCTGGAATACTTCAGGATTTTCTCAGAGACTCCAGTGGACAATGCAACCTGGGCAAAGTGTTTGAATTTAGAAAGGTGGTGTATTTAAAAGGTGATGGGAACAAGAACAGGAAACCAGTTATGGGAAATGAGGGGAATGTGGTTCTTTAGGAATTTAAACAGTAGCTTGTCTGACCAGAGTGTGGTCTCTGAAGATCTTGTTTAAGCCGATTGCTCAAATGCTAATGTTAATTCAGAGGCTGTAATGCTTATCTGAAACATTAAAAATCCTCTAAGTACTGCATCCCTGGATACTTTTTTAAATACTTAAAAAAAAAAATAATACTAACTGTACTATTTCTAGTGATATCAGTAATGAATCTAAACAATACAAGGAGGCAGGTCACCCAGAAACGGGTGCAGTTCTCCCTTTTTTTACTTTAAATTGTCATCTCTAATCACTCTCCATTATCTCAGTGGTACTCATCTTTCAGTGTTGAGGGCTGTTTGGTCTACTGTGGAATCATCGGAGGGTCTCGTTCCTCAACTTTTCTCAAGTGACTAATGGGTATCGCGGTGGCACATCCAAGCAGGGAGTTCCAGGCACTCAGCTTCCGAAATGTTGAAAGTCATAAGCTCCTTCTCTGAAAGTGGATTATCTCCTGTGTTACTGCTGCTTTGCACATTGGACAAGCCTTCCTTCATCTGCTCCTTTGAAAGAGCAGAAGACCACAGAAAGTTGAATTTTCCTAGGTGCTTTCTCTGGGTTCTCAGGCTAAGCCTTCCCTTGGGAAGGTAAAACAAACTGAAAGAACCGAGAAAACCTTGTGGCAAGGCAAAATGCACTAATGCTGTGTGAGCAGTGCCACAAGTTCTGAACAAACTGTGGATTTGAGAGGCTGAGGGAATGGAAGGGACAGAGAAAGGTGCCAGGGAAATTAACAGATGTCCAAGCAAAGACAAAAGGAAACACAGGTTATGGTCTTTGCATTGTTAGGAATTGATAGTTGAATAGTTCACTAGAGAACTCCTCAAGGGGTTCTTTGGCTTCTCTCTTGTAACATCTTGATTTAGTGCGTAAGGGAGGTGTGACCACTGCCATGGTACCTGCAATACTCGCCTCGTGCTGTGCCTGCCAGCACCTCCCCCTGGACGTGGCCCATATCTGTGTCCTAGTTACTTGTGCTTGACACATCGCAGCTTTCCCTAAACATAGCCAGTAAGTACGAAGGACACGGGCTCTCTGTTCTAGCACCTGGGGAGAGCTGGATTTACAGTTATTTTGGTTTGTGTTTGTCAGGGCTATACTTGAAAGAAAAAAACCTTTGTATTCTTTGGTAATTTCCTTTGGCTCCATCAAAAAGTCTGACTGGATTTTCCTAGTGCTCAGGAACACGTATAACACCTTTCCTGTTCAACACAAACAGGACTGTTGTAAACAGGGAGAGAGGGCAAGAGACAATAATGATCTTTGCTTCTATTTTAAACGTTTTGGAGATGGTTATTGGCTGTAATAAAAAATGCTATGCCCATATGCAACCTCAAAGTGGTTTTTATTCGAAGATGCAACAATTTCAGTTCATTTTTCCATTAGGTTATGTGGTGCTTTGTTGTAATGATCTGAGAAATGTTGGATTATACTGAACTCATTGTTCAAAAGTGTAAACTTCCGCCTCTGAACAAAACATCTCCTTTTGCTTATACTTTCTGTTTTAGGAGTTAGTGCTTCTAACATGCATCTAAGGATGTCATGTAAGAGATGCAGTTTCCTGTTGTACTGAGGTTACTGTCAATGCTCAGCTTCTGAACTTTAATTGATTTGATTTCTGTGTCCAAATAAAAGATTTGGTTTCAAATCTGTTGCTCCTATTCAGATTAATAAAAAAAGGCTGTGTAATATTCCTGCTTGAAACAAACTCATAGTTCTGTTGACGAGAAGGATGTAATACAGATCTGTATTAGTATTGGCATAATGGAAAAGCAGAGCTGTATGACCAATGTTTTTACTGAGTAAGATTTATTATGGCATAGTTACTTTAACTGAAAATACTAATTTACCACACAAATGCAAATAAAAACGGAGTTACTTTTTCCTTTTAAAAGAAAAAGAACTTGCTTTGATAGTAAGAAATCTTACCAGCAGAGTTGATTTAAAAATTATATTCTGAAGTATGAACCTGCAGTTAGTATGTACAAGAGTTCCAGCACTTCAGCTTGCAGTGCTTTTTCAAGCTTAGCTTCTGTGGAAATCCCTGGAAGGTGATCTTGAGTAAGAACTGTAGAGCGATGCCATAACGCAGTTTGGGTTTTTCCCTCATACTGACTTTGGCCACACAAGTGGGATTTTTCCTCATAAAGTAAGAACAAATTTCCTCTCATCTGTCCCTGAAATTGCAATGTGGTTTATGTGAACTTTATAATAGAAGCTTTGATTAGTCGTCTTTGTCACCAATCTTGGCTCGCATGTCTTCTATCAGCATCACCAAACCTCTTCAGCAGACGTGTTTTCTGCTTTGGTAGTTGTTGTGTGCGCTGGTTCAGTCAATAGCAGTTTGTTCTACCGTGCTGGCTTTGTCCAAGTTAGTCATTACCCTCTAAAAGACCAAGGTTCTTACCAGTATATAGTTTACAACTGGAATTCTAGAAATGTTCATCTTGTAAATTACAGTAAGATGCAGGTTACAGTGCAGTTAAATTGTAATTTTTTACAATGTGATGTTTCTATCAAAGTCTTGGGTTTTTTTTTATTTATCAGTGGAAAGGTTGGCATTTGTGTGGACCAATCTGCAATGTCATTTTAAAACATATCTTTCAGCTTAAACTTTTCATGAGTATACATCAAATTGTACATTTTGATGTATATGTCAGTGAAATTTGGGTGAAAACTATATACGGTCATTTTTGTATTTTTTTCTATGTTGTGAAGAATTAAACTGTAATTTTGTAAGTCTGATTCACTAAGATTATTATAAGTTAAATGTATTTTTTTGTATATTTAGGAATCTGGTATTACCTGGAGCTCTGAAAGATTAAGCATAGACTTTTTACGCATGTTTGGAAGATATTTCTACTTGATAATGCAGTGAAATGGTTTGTATGCAAAAATACTAGTCCATGTTGTTGCCTTGTGCAATTGATTCTGTGCTCTCTGCCTGGATTTGGCCTACTGATCAGTGATACTAGTTGCTGTAATCCAAATAAAATAATTCTGAACAAAATACCTTGTATTGTTACTGTTTAGGGAACAAAAGCAGATACTTTACAAATGTGAATTAGGGCTGTCTTTTTTTTATTTGTGTATCATCCTACCTTGCAATTTGGAGATTATTTGGCTTACATAACTTTTGAGCTCAAACAAAAGAATTCAGCATCTTAATACTGTTATGAGCGCTCTGCTTTTCACTTTTAAGAGGCATTCATAACAACGTGTTAATTGACTGTGTTAACGATGGAACTTAGGACTTCCTGAAGGATCGTCAGTAGTGTGTGCTCTCTGTTCTCCTGTTACATGCACTCTAGATGGTGGTGGCTTTCCACAAAAACAAAATCGTTTGAGTATTGTAAATATAGTGGAATGCTTAACTAATGCAACAGAGTACTTCAGAGTTTATTTACTAAATAGAATGTGTCTGCTACCACGGCAACGTTCTTAACATTTTTAACACTTCCTGAGACAGATTTAAATACTGTGTCTAGATGCCATTAATGCTCATAAATAACAAGTTATAATCCTCTAATAGGAACTGAGTAGTAGTTGCAGAGTGAGTGCTGTTATTCTAGGCATATGCTTGTCATAAGATGGCACAACTACAGGGATTTTTTTGTTAGATTGGAGACGTGATGAAATACTGTCACGCCCAGCATCAGCACATGTCCTACACATGATAGCTGTGACTTGGCACTACAGAGTAATTAAAAACTTCTCTTTGAAATGTTACGTTGCGAGGAGTGGTGCTGAGCTCCATTTGTGCCTTGGAATAACTGTTACTGGTTATTTGTGTTTCCTTTTTGCATTTTGAAAATAGGAGGTATGGAAACAATTTCAGTTACCTAGGGTGACATTAAAAAGTCTGGAAAGCATAAAGATTTCACAATGGGCTCATCTTAAATAAAGCATTGGCAGTTCTTGACGTAAGACTCGAGGAAGGATCTGTGCTGAGTGTAAAATAAAAAGGTGTGAATATCTGTGTGATTCAGTTTCATTTGGTAGGGACCGAGCATTTCTAGAGTTGGGATTGATTGGTACAAGCCACCTAAAGGCCTGGAACTTCCATTCAGTTTCAAATGGCTTTTAAATCCTGCTGTCCATCTCCTCAACAAGTACTCTTCCATACGTGTCAGAAGACTTCTGATATTGTAGGGAGAGAATTAATAAAGCTGCTGTGGTGGTTTCTGAAGGCACCTTGAAGCAGTTGGAATTAAAAGTGTGGATGGAAAATTTAAAACTTTTAATACTGTTTGTCACTGATTTCCAGAATAACCATTTCTTTTACAGATCCTAAACCCTTTTTTTACGTGTTCACAAATTATTTAGCATTGGTATTGTCAGAGGTGTGATTTTTCTTTGGTGTGCTGACACTGATAATGTGCTAGTATTAGGAAAAAAATTACTGTCAGTACTGCATCTGAATTTTTCTAGTGCTTTAAGAAGACGCATATTACTTCAATCTCCCACTATAGAAGCATAATTCACAGTATTCCAGTAACACTTTCATGCCTAGTTATACTACTACAAACTCTGTGTCACAAAAAAACCTGCCTCTCTGTAGATGAAATTACTTCTGTATAGTTTGTACATAGAAATTTTATATTATCTGGTACTACATGAGCGGGGTGTTACTGGAAAATTCATTAGTGGAAGTTTTTGCACAGACTGATTCAGCTGAATTATGTACCCTGAATTGCATATTTTGTCCTGGTTTTTTGACTCCTGCTTCAGACAGTCTGCACAGTCTTCTGCAAACCATCTGTAGCTGTCATTTAGGCACCGTTAAATATTTTCGCCACCGTATATAAATGTCACTTACAACAAGTGTACATTAAAAACTTTACTACTGACATTTTCTAGTTTGAACACTTGAACTTTCATAATCATATTTGCTGTGTAATCTGCATTCAACCTCTAGGCACTACAGTGAGTTAGTCTCTAAAAACTGGGTGATAATATGAAGAATATATGTATGTCTACATAGGCAGTTCAGGTATCTTCTTTTGGAAGAGTTTTAAGTTGATGGCCATTCAAAGGTCAGCCCTTTGTTTCTTCTGCATCTAGCATGCCTACAGAAAAAATAAATTGTGGAGAGGATATTGGAAGTGGAGGGCCTTC